AGTGATGTAAGCTATTCTATTCTGAGCTATTCTAAAGCTCCATGCCTCCCTTCCATTGCTAATTGATCAAGGGATTAATTGAAGGGCAAGGAAATGTGAAGATAATGGGTTTGGGGCCTGAGGAGGATCCATGGTGGTCGTCCTTCTGAAAGATCAGTATTCTCTTCCTCACTCAGATGTTGACTTATCCGAGAACAGAGTTGGAGTGAAAGGAGCAAAGGCTCTGTCTGCTATGCTTCGGGAAAACACAACCCTCATCTCCCTGGACCTTTCTGGAAATGAATTAAGTGACCATGCTGCCCGTGACTTAGCAGATGCCCTTTTGACCAACAATAAAATGGAATTCCTCAATCTGAGTCACAACATGCTTGGGGAGCCCTCAGGTAACACTGCTGCAGCGAGAATGGTGCCAAAGTATGTTGTGTGTGGCGTGTTGGGGAGCTGCGTTTGCGCAATTTATGCAGGAAGGCCTTGATCGGGGTGGCGCTCAGTGTGGCTAATGAACCAGTGCTGCGGTGACACCAGGAAGAGGCTCTCCCCAAAGCAGGGCTGCTTGTGTGGGTATGAGCGCCAGGAAAGCACAGCGCTCGCTGCAAGTTGATTAGTGGGCCACCCTGCCAGCGATCGTGCAGAAGCCCTTTTCACCAAAGACGGTAGAGCTCTTTCATCTGAGTCGCAACACACTGGGAGCGTTCTGCTGTGTCTCCCAGTGAAGGAACCAGCACGAAGCATTTTGCCACTTGGACTGTGACATCAAAGGGCCACTCGAGTAGATGCTGTCCCCTGTCGTACTGCGCACACTTAAAATTCCAGACAAAATAATTCGTGCGTCACTGGAAGCCTACAATAAAGTGTAAGTGTGTGCATGTGTGTTTTGTTCGTAGGTTTGTTTGTTCTGTTATCTCTCATTCCTGCAAGGGAGTGTTTGTGTGTATGTGTTATATGAAAGACGTTCCTAGTGAAAAATGCCTTTTTTGAGCATAGGTCGTTGTCTCTGTTTCAGAACTATGGATAGTCCAGTTCACAAGGTGCAGCGTGTTGCATACAGTTGAAAATTCACTCCTAGCTTTCCTTTTTGCCTGTTGAAGAGTTAAGTGTAACCAGATATTTTTGACAATGAGAAATTCAGAAGAGGGTGTTGCTTGAGCTTTATATATATTCTTAACTTATGGCTGCTAATTACCTATATTCTTTTTCCAGTGAAGTAGGTACACCTACTCCCCCTTCTCTGCCTCAGCTCCTCCTCTGCACTATTCTTGATTTCTCATGCCCCTCCCCCCTCTGTGCATTCAGCTGCCCTGTCACTCCTTTTGTTCTTTTAGTTTCCCTAAACTAAACTTTCCCTTTTTTGTTGCTTGACCCCTCCACACCGGTCACTGCTTAGAACCTCCTGATTTGCCTGACACCGTGAAGGATCCTTGGCCTTCTGCTGGCCACATCTCAATCCCCCTTTACTTTTTGCTGAGGACACTGTGAGTTGATGGCAACAGGAGGGAACCAAGACAGTATGCAGAGAAACTAGGGAGGAACAGCCAAAATGAATGAAAGAAAGAAAGAAAGAAAGAAAGAAAGAGAAAAAGAAAAGAAAGAAGGTAGGTAGGAAGGATTCAGAGGGAGGGAAAATATCCATCCATTTATTTATTTATGATTTTTACACTGCCCTATCAGGGTGGCTGAGAGTAAAATACAACAAATTCCATAAATTGATACATAAGTATAAGCTAAAAACAGTAATTCTCTCAAAACGGCATAATAGTAGAGTACTTGGATTAAAATAGATATAAACCAAAGTATAAAGCCATACACTGTGCTTCACACTCGGGGTTATCTGGGGAAGGGCCTCTGGCAACAATCTCAGAGTACAGACAGGCACACAGGATGCCCTTGACCTGGAGATCAGCAGGAGAAAGGACAGGATGTTGATGAAGCAGTGGCATAATGTGCTGATGAGGCCCCGATCCAGCAGAGTTGTTGGGAACTAGCTGCAAGTGCTGCGCTATCTGCAGAGGCATCTCTGTCTTGTGCATTGCTACAGTCTGGCGACTTTGCCAACAGAAAGCCCAAGCTGTTCCTGGTCAGGCAGTAGAGATGCACTGGTGAGCACAGCTGAGCTGGCTAAAGGTCCATGCCTAATTGGTCTTTGGGTACATGATTGCTGATGCAGAAGCAAGAAGAGCCAAGGAGGGGGAATTTGCCATTTCTCCCTGATAATGAGGTTTCGGCAAGGGGCGGCATAGAAACGTTAATAATAATAATAATAAATTTCACTGGTTCCTCTTCCGAATTGTGCATCTGGCACAGCCATGGTTGCTCCACGACTGCCTGAGGCCAGAAGAAGCATAGCAAAATGAAAACGGATGACAAAAGGCGCAAGTGCTCAGTTCCTACTTAGGCTCAGTCTTTTCCCAGAAGAAGATGCATGACCTACCCAGTGAAGGAGAAGTGCAAGCAGAAGGCGCAGGATGGCAGCTCAAGACTGATCGGCCACTGGTCAAGGATCATCTAACTGGGTTGGATGAGTTCAGATCTCCGAGGCCCGAGAAACTCCATCCCAGAGTCATAAAGGAGCTGCTGGAAGAGCTCTCAAGAGCGAGTGTCTATTCTTGTCCAGAAATCATGGAGGTCGGGGAAGTGCCAGATGACCGGAGAAGGGCTAATATTGTCCTTCAAGAAAGGAAAAAAAGAAGAACCTGGAAACTATAGACCAGTCAGGCAGACATCAATCCCTGGGAAAATTCTGGAGCAGATTATAAAGCAGTCAGTCTGCAAACAGGTCAGAAACAATGCAGTGATTACTAGAAGTCAACATGGCTTTTTCAAGAACAAATCCTGCCAGACTAATCTGATTTTGTTTTTTTGATTGGGTAACCTTGTGGATCAATGGACTGCTATGGACACAATCCATCTCCACTTTAGCAAAGCTTTTGACAAAAGGCTCCGTGTTCTCCTGATGAGTGGGCTACTTAAAAGTGGGTTGGATGAAACAACTGCCACATGGATCCATAGCTGGCTGCAGAGTCAGACTCAAAGAGTGCTAAAAAATGGCACCTTTTCAAACTGGGTGAGGTGATTAGTGGGGTACTGCAGAGTTCAGTTCTGGGCCCAGTGCTCTTCAACATTTTTATTCGTGCCTTGAATGGCGTAATGTAGGAAATGGTCAGATTTGCAGATGAAAAAAAAATCTGAGTGGGATAGCTACTACCCCGGAAGACAGGAGATGCAAGGTGATCTTGGCAGGTTGAAGCACTGGGCTGAACAGAGTGACATTCAATAGGGGCAAATGCCAAGTTCTGCATCTGGGATAGAGAAAGCAAACGCATTATTACAAGGCGGGGAATACTTGGCTCAAGAACACTGCCAGCGAGATGATGTGGCTGCAAAAAGGGCAAATGCTCTTTTAGGCATTAGTAGAAGGACCGCTTTCAAACTCGGTGAAGTGCTAGTTCCCCTTTACTCAGCGCTGGTTAGGCCTCATCTAGAGTACTGTGTTTGGAAAATTTGGGCAAATTTGGGAAAAAAAAGATGCAGACAAGCTGGAAAGGATCGAGAAGGAGGGCAACAAGGATGATTCCAGGAGGGAAAGCCAAGTCCTGGGAGGAGAGACGGAAAGACCTGGGCACGTGTAGTCGGGAGATGGCTGAGGGGAGATGTGGAGGCTCTGCCAGTGCTGGGAAGGCTGTCGCCCGGGGAGGCCCACGGTCTCCTTGCCGTCGAGAGTGCAGGCGTGGTGCGGCGGAGTCAAGTGAGAGCCGGCCAGCTGCGAGTCCAGTGGCCCTTCTCTGACGGGGCTTGTGCTGGGAACTTCCTGGCGTACGAGGCCCCCTTTCTTTTGCTCATGGTGAGGCCGTTGTCTATGCAGTCCTGTTTCCCCTGCAAAGATCCCTGCCTTGATTACGTCCACGGAAGCTCTGGGGGATTTGCTACGTGCACACGCTGGCACTCCTGCTGCATGAGTTGTCTCTGCTTGCTTCTCCTTCTGGCCTCGTTGTTCCCTTTTCCTGCTCTTTGGAGACATGCCAGAAGTGCTCAGAGCGTTGGGCCACCCTCGCCTCCACAGCCAGGTGCCTAGCGAAGTTTCAACAGAGCAAGTTGTCCTAAGTTGGAGGGGCAGTGTGAGGGCGATCTCTTGGAGTTCCTTTTGTCAGTGACCTCTGCTTGTCCTGCTTGCACAAGTCCCTCCATACCTGAAAACCTTTTTCACCCCCTGTAATTACCCAGGTGAAGTTCTTGGAGCAGCAGTTGCTGAAAATGTGGGCTTGAAGGAGCTCAATCTCAGCTGGAACTGCTTCCGGGGCCAAGGAGCAGTTGCTGTTGCCAAAGGCCTGGGGGTAAGAGCCGTTTCCTTCCGTATCTTCTGCCTTGCACGGATACAGTTGCACTAACATTGCAGTTGTCCTTAATGGAGGACGCTTGTCGCAGATGGAATGGTCTGCTCAGTGATTTGGAATCCACTGTTGGTCACTCTCATTTTTATGTTGTGAGATAATATTTGTGACTTTCAAGACACTTTGCTAGGGCTTCTGATCAGGATTGACCCGGTATGTCTGGTCTGGGGTGCAAGGATAGATCAGGAGAATGGGCATTTGGACAAAGTGGGGGAAAGGAAGGAGGCATGATGAACAGCATGTGGGATGTGCAGGCCCTGGACCAGCAAGGTCTGGCAATCCTGCAGGAAAGAAGGCAGAGGAGAAGAGCCTTTCCTGGTGGTTCTGTTGCCAGTTGGGTGCTGGAGCGCTGCCAGGGTGTGCCTAGAGCAGGGGTCTCGAACTCAGCTCAACTGGAGGCCGCTGGAAGTAGAGTCTGGGTGAGGCTGGGCCACATCAAGTATTCCACCACTGCGGTGGTGGGGGACCGCTCATCCCGCGGCCGGCCCAGGCGCCGCCGGCGCTTTGAAGGCCGCAGGGCCCCTCCCCCGTGCCCCGCCCGTCCTGGCAATTGGCCCGCGGGCCGCGCGTTTGAGACCCCTGGCCTAGAGGAATGGGCAAAACAGGCAGTAGGCTGCCTTGAGGCAACGGGGCCTTCAGTTCCCCTTGAGGCCTTTCCGTTGGACCAGATCTGGCCCCCTTCCCCTTTACTGCACCTTTGGTCACAGCCCCGCGTCTCCAGCTGGCTGCCTCCCCTTGGCACTGGCTAGCGGGGTTGGTTCACACTCAGTGCCCCTACACAGGGCCTAAGATCCGGGGCTTTGTGCTTTGCCATACTCTTCCTGTGCAGTACTGCCCAGGAAGAGTTGGAACCAGTTTGGCCCAGTGTCTGTGCCCTTTGGTGCCGTGTTCTTGGCAGCCATGTGGATAGGAAGGGCTTGCAGTGAAGCCCAGTGTCATGGACAGAAAGGAGGCAGCACATGTGTGTGATCATGAAGGAAGAGAACAACACGGCTGACAAGACTAAAGCACCACGAGCCGTTGAGAGCGGTGGGAGAGAGGGCGAGGGACCAAGGGCTTGCAGTGGCTGTGGAGAAAAGGCCCACGTCTTCTCAGACTGCCTCCGTCCCTTCACAGGCCAATATATTCCTTCGGGTGCTCGATCTGTCTTACAATGGCTTTGGAAATAGTGGTGCAGCCGCACTTGGTGAGGCCCTGAAAGTCAACAACGTGTTGGAAGAACTCCATGTCGGGTAATAAAGTTCATCATTTCTTTCTGCACTTTCTAAGGTTTTGGAGCTTTTTTTGATTCAGTAGTTCTTAATATAACCCTGCGGACAGGTTTGTTTGTTTGTTGCTCTTTTATACCACCCAGTAGCTAAAAAGTTGTTGTTACGGCCCCCACAGCAAACTGTTGGCTGAAGCTGGATGCAAATCTGAGACATCACAGTTCCCACTCTTAGCTGCTGAACCACGTCCGCTTGAGCTGGGTGCAAGAGTGGAAAGTGACGCAGCACAAATGCGCCCCCAACCCAGCAGGTTAACAGATTGCTTAGCAAGTAGGGGCCTACTTCAGTTTTCCCCAGCAGGTTACCTGCAGGGATGCTGGACCGCAACTCCCATTATTCTCAGCCAGAATGGTCAGCATCCATAATAGCAGTTTAGGGCACAGTGAATTCTGGGTGCTATTGGCAGGATACGCTGAGCGGACTCACGCTTACAGAAATGATGTGGAAGGGACCTAAAGGGTGTTGGCAAAGAGTGTGCACCTGGTGGGGGCGCATGATGAAGCCCAGAGCATTTCACATGTATGAACTGCTGACCAACTGAAGGAGGATGGTGGGATTTTGTGGCTTGCTCTCCAACCTTGGAGTTTGATTTAGTTCTTAAGAATGACTGAATGATGCAACTCTACTTGGATGCTGGGCATGTGGGGTGGGTGGGTGGGAGGGAGGGAGGGAGAAACATCCTTAAATAGTTTACTCTGCCCCCCGTCAGGAATAATCGCATTTCACTGGAAGGAGCCCTCTGTCTTGCACTGGGTCTGAAAGAAAACAAGACTCTGAGGATTCTTGGTGTGAGTAGCTTTCTGGAAAGGGCTAGACTCCAATGCTCCAGGGTAGACAAACCCACACACTTTTTGTTCTGTGATCTGCAGATGGCCAGGAACCCCATCCAGAATGATGGTTGTGTGGGTATTCTGAAAGCTGTTCGAGCAAACTCAGCTGCAGTCTTGGAGATTCTGGACTTTTCAGTAGGTATTAATCAGTGGGTGGGTCAAAGAGCGGGGTGGTCTGGCTGAGATGTAACAGCTAGTGCAGAATTGGCCAAAGAGGTGTGCCTCAAGGGGGGCTACAAAGATGTGGGTGGTATGGGGCCCTGGGGCAGTCCATGCCAAGGCTGCAGAGCAGCCTCCGTGACTGCATGGAACGCCATGGTCATGGCGGAACAGGTGATCGGGCAATGATGAGAGCTGCTTCTCTTCTTTGACTTCACTGTATAGATGATTGCCATGCAGAGATTAGACTGGGGTAAGGCTGCTTCAAGGGAGGCTATAAATGGTCCTAGAGCTAAACAGAACCTCCATATATGTAAGCAATATACCTTGGAATGCTGGATTCTGAGGACCAGGGAGGGGTGTTTCCTTCCTGCTTTGCTAATGATCCTCCTGGAGGCAAGAGGCAGCAAACGGGAGGCAGAACCAGCTCGACCTTGCTCTGGCCCACGAAAGACCTGAGGTGGAGATGGGGTGTCTTCTCCATCCTTCAGGAGATCATTGTGAAGCAGGACTTCGTTGGACTCTGCAAGGCTGTCCAGGACATGCTTCCGAGCCTTCGGATCAAACATGATGGAACCAGTCGCTTGTTCAGAACGGACTCCTCAAAGGTGTGGAAAGTGAATTTATGCTGGTGGGAGAGATGCTTTTCCCTTGTCTGCGGTATGCATGTGCATCCTCTTGTTATCCATTGGATCCTGCAGGCTTTTGACATTATTTAAAAACCTTACAGACCTAATGGACCAGAGGTGAGTGCAGGATGAAAGATGCACGTAGGCAGCGAGGACAATTCCCGCCTCTGGCACACGTTCAGGTCTCTAAGGAGACTGTCCTCTACACAGACGTCAGTAAGCGGCTACTGTGCCTGGACTCCCTCCCATTTAGCAGAATCCCCGCTGGACACAAAACAGGAGAAAATAATCCCACCCCCCGCCCATGTCAGTAGTCATTTCCATAGTTCCAGCTACCTGGAGGAAGACTTGGATTGCTTGCAGGAAGGTCCTAGGTCATCGGGGGGGCTTGAGGAGGGTCTTTGTGCCCCCTCAGTCACTGTGAGTTTGGTATCAGGATAATCTGCCTGCCCGTTTTAAGGGTCTAAGCCCCTCATAACTGGGTAGATGTTCCAGCTTCCAGCTGCTGCTCTAGGGCCACCGCACCTGTCCCTGTGCTGATGCTTCTCAGTCTAAACAAGACAAAGCAGGGCTGCTCCCATTGCCACCTTCCACCTCCTGGGCTTGCACGCTGCTTTGGACTTCCCAAATGCAGAGGACAGTTAGGTTTCAGGCCTGGTCGTGGCACATGGTGACGTTCTACTAGGACAGCGATTTGCATCTTCGCACAAGCCTCATTTCGCCTTGAGAATGTGAGTCAAAGCCCAGCTCTACCCATGGGCCTCGTGTTCCTTTCCGGGAGCCACAGGTTTGAACGTGGCATGTTCTAACTCTGGCGGGTGGCATTCGCTCGAGCGAGGGCCACGCAGGGACAGTTTCCAATTACTTTTTGTGTGCTCCCTGTTTGACAGGGGTCCTGAGAAGACACCTGATGCTGGGTGGCCCGGCGGATCTCTGCTCTTCACTTGCCCACTTTACTGCATAATGGGAAAGAAGACCATCCTTGGCAACGCCTTCTGTGGACGCTCAGACTGCAGGCCCTGCCCCCCCCCCCCCCCCCCCCCCCCCCCCC